TTTTGTTGTCTCCATAGTGGAGTCACCACTTCTCTTCTATGTCCCTCAACAGAACCTTTCTTTGCTTTTATTTCTTGGTTTTGACGCTATTTTTTTTGCGTCCCTAGTATGGTCTTGCTACCTCCTTTCGCTCTTGGTTTTGACACTGTCTCCGTTTCCTTTTACTTCTCTGTCCTAGTTCCCCGAACCACGTAGGCCTTGAATTCCTCATTGTACTATGAGGATACGTAGGCACGAGATTGCAAAATCTTGGCAAGTCAACTTCTTCCACTTTCTCCTCTTTTTCCTGGTTCCCTGAACTACGGAGCTCTGAATTTCTCATTGCACTATGACGATACGTAGGCACGAGGGCCCCAATCCTCCACGAGCACTCTATCTCTTTCTCTTTTCTTTTTCTTTTAGCTAGTAGTCTTTAGATAGATAACTCATCCAAGCCTAGAAGCAAGCAAAATTATTCCTGTCGAGTACGATGAATGCGTAAGGTGCTAGTACCTTCCTTTCGCATAACCGGCCCCCTTATCCGCTTCTCTTCCCCTGGGTTTTATCGAAATTTTACCTGTCCTTTGGGACTAAATAAAGTTCGATGGCGTCTCTGTTATATCTTTGAGTATGCGATTCGCTCAAGTATAATCCCGCTAGCCTTAGTGTGTAACTGATGATTATCCTAGATCGAGATTCAAATAGTGTTTCTCAATAAAATTTTAAATCGACATGTAAAACAAATAAACAAGTATAACATCGATATAGATTCATAAATAGATCGTACATAACGCCATGATTAATAAAAATACATACTTTTACAATGAACTTACATCCAATCCGAACAAGAAATAGATTTAGCTACCCATGGAAACTAAATATAAAGAGAAGAATGAAGATAAACAAGCATCCACCGCGACTTCCCAATGATAGAAGCAAACCCAACTCCGGATCTTCAAGAAGCACACTCACTTATTATTTTCTAAGCCTTACTTTCTCCAAAAATGGATTCTCTTAGCTATCCCAATCTAATATAAGATCATAAATATCCTAAAAATTAAGAGAATGTCAAAATATGATTTGAACCTATTTATACAAAGTTGGGATTTTTTTGTCTTTCCCGGTGAAATCAACTTTATGGGACATCCAACTGCCTCCAAAGCATCAAATTGTCCTCAGCAAAATATCTGATCTCACCCAGCGAACTTAAATTCTAAAATCATCATTGGGATACCATGGCAAGTTTTACCATTGCCTCAATTCTAATTTGTCTCATCCTAACCTCGCCAGAGCTCGCCGAGCAAGCTCATTTCTATCTTTCCAGTGCTCACTGGGCGAACATGCTGAAGATTGCCACTTTTAGCTTTGTTTCTTCTTCACTGTCTTGTGCCTTTTTCTATGGTTTGTTGGAAAATTTTCTATATAATAATACACATATCAAGGATATCAAGGCCAAGTGCAATTTATATGACATTATAAGAAAACTCGAGGAAATAAATGATGTAAAACGCAAAATAGAGTCGAAAAATGCCATGTTTTAATGTGAAAATTTAGTCATGATTGGAACTTATCAAAATCTCCCCAACTTAAAAATTTGTTTTTCCTCAAACAAGATTCAATCAAACCTAAAGAAACAAGAGAAAATATCAAGAAATCATGATTAGATAAACTTTTAGAAATAAAAACAAATGTATGGTTCAAATTGCAAAAGCACAAGCAAAGTGATGCTTACCATTATACTACAATGACACCACGATCATGAAAAAATTCTAAGCCAAAACACATGCCAAAAATTCTAAAGAAACATATTTTCAAATATGAATCACACCTAACACGCAACTTCATTGATGGATGAAGAACAAACATGAGGCACTTGACTCACACCCAACAATCTTGCTAACATCTTGATTAAATTATGGATTCATCCAAAAACAAATCATATTTAAAGAATAAAATCATAAATCACAAAGGACTTTCATGGGTCGTAATGTGGCTTGAGTAACAATGAAGGGTCATATCTCAAGGCCTTTGAAACATAATTTCCTAAACATACGAGAGCAATCGCTTCTCAAACTTTCAGGAAATAAAAAATTATTCACCTTTTTCTCTTTGCTCGTTTGCTACAACCTTAATCTTATTTTTTTCTTTTCTTTTCCTATTCTCTTTTATTCTCTTTTTCTTTTATTTTTAACAATTTTTTTATTATTTTTCAATCACTTTATTTTTTTTTTCAACCTCTAGGAACCAACTTTTAAGCAACCAATCCTTTTTAAAGGTACTTCTTACTATTTCTCCATTACTTAGAGCTACCACATATAATTGCTTGGGGGAATATATCTTTTAATGGTACTTCTTCCCCATTGCTTGGGGATGATACATATGGTACTATTTCACCATGTTCATGGGACACCACAATATGATTTTTACCCATTGTTTGGTACCATAGTTATGTTAAATTTTAATAAATATTCTACCATATAAGAAAACTTAAAATTATCCATAAATGTTAGCCACGACCACATGATCAACGATAATAATTTGAGTTTAGAGAGCCTATCAGTAAATACTTTGTTAATAAACGAGAGAATAGTAGTATAATATTTTTTAAATCTTATACAGGACACAATCATGAGTCATTTCATAAATTTATTTAAAGGTAAATGATAGGATATTTTGGAGATGCATTTTCGGAAACACTCTGGGATGCTTTCAAGCCAACAACATTGTCTCAACATTCAAAAAATTTGAGTCCATCTAATTTTAGGTGATTTTAGGCCATAAATTAAAAGATGGATATACTAATTGATTCAAAGATGCAGTAAAAGAGTCACAAATTAATTAAAGTAAAATCAAAATGTGTGGGGCATACAAAACATGTTACAAAAAAAAAAACATAAACAATCGGGTCTGTCTAACCCCCTGTCTTCTCCTCCGCCTATATTGCAAGGCATTCTGTGCCTTGGAAATCATGCTTTCTTCTAGGTACAAATATGGACTCCCTACCACAAAGAGTCTTGTCTCTATGTATGATTTTCCCATTTGCATAATACGCCCATAGATCGCCGATACATACCTAGTATGGTCATACCTAGCCCGATATACATCTTGATTAGCTAGCCTAAGCGGTCTTCGAAGAACTTCTAGTGTTATAATAAGGTTTGACACCCTATAGAGTTGTGTCATGTAACCTTCTGCATAAGACCAATGTACAATAGATGAGACCGTGTGATACTCATATAGTACCAACGACTCTCGAAATCATCCAGTATCACATGAAGATCTTTGGAAGATGGTGGGAGGAGCATAATCATAAGGTGGATCTCGAAATAATATTCAAATAAGAAAACTTCTGCATCACTCGATCGGGAAAATAAGGAAAAATTAGAGATGACTAACACGTCAGCCATCTAGAGTATAAGGAGATGACGTCCAACTGACGCGTCTCGCAGTGATCGTCGTATAGGAAGATGGAAATTTCATCTAGTATATGACAATCAAGATACACTGTGAATGGCTTGCTCATACATTCCCCTTGTATAAGGAAAAAGCGGCAACACGGGACTAATCTTCAGCGTATGAGGCCACAACTTCCCACCCGGTGACGATAAGAAAGGGGGAGATGATCAATCTACAAAAATGGTCTAGATACAATATTACTAACAAGTGTATTAAATTAATTATGAAAATATTAGTAACTATAAATTACCGTAAGTAGCACGAAGCTTCCTCTCATTTTCCATGTCTTCCAAAGACAACCCTTGCCTAGTTTCAAGTACAGGTAGACCAAACAGGTGCCCTCCAATTGTACTCGTGAATCACATTCAAGTCAATGAAGTACTGAAGGTTGACGACGTTGACTTAGGAAGCTCTAAAACTAAAGAAAAAACCATGGCGTTGTTAATAGACAACAAAAGAATAACACTATTTGAAAATTATTACAACACATAATATACCCTCAACTGATCCAGGTCCCCAGGTCCCCAATACACCCACATCCTCCAAAATAAAATATTTAACTACATCTCACAAAGCTCTAATACAAGAGTATAAGAGAACAAATAAAGTCAAATACAAGATTCAAGTGCTTTTGACTGGTGCATTTTGGAACAAAGAACTTGAATCCTATATATAGCCTTATACTCCATCTTCGTCCACAAAACTAAGCGATGTGGAACTTTAAAGAACTTGTATTATATATATATATATATATATATATATATATATATATATATATATATATATATATATATATATATATATATATATATATATATATATATATATATATATATATATATATATATATATATATATATATATATATATATATATATATATATATATATATATATATATATATATATATATATATATATATATATATATATATATATATATATATATATATATATATATATATATATATATATATATATATATAAGTGTGTATTTAGCGGAAGCAGGATCGGAATAGTGTGTATAAAAGAGAAGTATAGAAAGTGAATGGTAGAGACAATGTTATAAGAAACTTCAAAGTTGTTATTCAAAGGTGTTCCAAGGTGTGTTTACAAATGAGACTTAAATCCCTTTATATAGGGAAGAAAAGGCTTACTATTTAAGCCGGTAACTAAAACTTACAATAGCCGGTAACTTGTATAATTATTGTCGGGTACACTTGGGGCCCCATCGTCACAACAATTAACAAGAAACTACAAAAATCACATGCATGCCTAGAAATTATTAAAGACAAGATAAGATTCTTTTTCCCTTGTCTTTTACAAAAGATAGAAAATGCATGTAATTATGCCTAGAAATTATTAAAGACAAGTTAAGATAAGATTCTTATCCCCTTGTCTTTTACAAAAGATAGAAAATGCTTGCAATTATGCCTAGAAATTATTAAAGACAAGATAAGATTCCCTTGTCCTTTTGCTTTTGGAAAGATTCTTCTTCTATTATTTCTTGTCCTTTAACCTTTGTCTATTGATTCTTACTTCATTATATTTAGACAACATAGCAAATTAATTCTTTGCTTTTCTTTTTTCTTTCAAAGATTGAATCATCGCATCCCAGAAATCTTCTGCAATAGCTTCATCTGCTTGACCTTCTCCTGCTACACCTTCAAAATCATGGGAATCCATTGATCCCATGGAAGAGCTTGTCTTCATAGATGAATCCTCATCTTTTGATACTTTTGATGGAAAAGTAGAGAAGAATTGGTTCTTCATATGATCCAAAATTCTGACCATAATTTCGTCTTCTGATTCATTGGGATATTTTCTCTTGAAGAAGTTCTTCAAGTTTTCCATTGACATTTGTTGGGAGCTTTGTTCCTTGACCTTTTTATTCTTGTCTTCAGCTATTGCTTCTTCAATTAATTTAATTTTATTCTGGACATCCTCTGCACTCATCTTGTTCCACCATTTATAAAAGAAATTTCTTTCTAAAATGGGAATGTTAAATTTGTTTCTTGATATGGTGATTGTCCATCTCCATATCCATGGAATATGAAATTTAATAAAGAACAATAATGGACATTGTCCAGTGATTAAATCATCAGATAAAATTTTTACAATAAGTGGACTATTATCACACCATGGATTATATAAGTTAAGAATTTCTTTAGGAAGAATTTCCAAAGATGGACCAAATTTAGCCCACCATTCATAAAACCAATTTGGTATGGGTTTATTAACCATCTCTTCATTAATAGAGAAAAACCAAGAATGCTTGTTCTTGGGATTTTGGTAATAAAAGGCTTGAGTGAAAGCCTGGACATAGTCCCAATAATTAAAGTAAATATACTTTCCTTCCGCAATTCTTATTGCCTTTTAAGCATTTGGGTTGAGACTCCATTCTCTTGGTAACAAAATTTTGTTAATGTGACATTTGTTGAAGTTTATAAAACTTTCAGGATTATTGTTTTGGTAATGGTGAGTAATTGTTACCGATTCGGTAACAGTCATGAGAATTTCTAGGTTGGGCCTACATTTTCCATGAAGACCTGGATATCCTCTTGATTCGAGGTATCTAGTTTTGATAGACCATCCATCATTTGGATTTATCTTTATATCTTCATCATCAATATACATGATTTTCTCAGTTACTGGATTTTCAAAATAATCCATTTGTTCTTGAGGTGGGTTATTAACCGCAACTTCCTTGTAGGATGTAGTTTTATTAGAGGAAGAGGAAGCAATATCTTCCCATTTTGCTGAAGATGCAGGTAATTGCTGCATTTTTCTACCTTTGTAGACAGTAGTCCAATCCCCTATTAGAGGAATGTTTGATTCTGGCTGGGGTAACATATTGTTACTCCCTCTCCCACCACGGCCATAACCGTGGCCTCTACCCCTATATGGGGTCATCATTTTTTCCCTGCAAAAATTCACGAGTTAAATAATCAGCAAGTGAATTATTTTCACCTTTAATGTGTTGAATATCAAATTCAAACATAGATAATTGTGATTGCCAACTAGCAAAAATTTGCTTAGCAACAAGATTTTTAACATCTTTTTCAATAATTGATTTAGCTGAGCTACAATCAATTTTTAATAAAAATTTTTTATTAAGAAGATCATCTTGAAATTTTGAAATGCATTTTATAATAGAAAGCATCTCTTTCTTGATAGTTGAATATTTTGCTTGTGTTGGATTCCATTTTCCAGAAGTAAATCTAACCAAAACTTCTTTTGAGGTTTCAGGTATTATTTGTTTAAGGATTCCTCCATAGCCTAAGTCTGAAGCATCAGTTTCAACAATTTTGAAATACTTAGGATTAGCAAGAGATAAACAAGGCAAACATTTCACCTTATTTTTAATTCTTTGGACTGCCTGAGAATGTTTTTCAGTCCAAGGGCCAGGATTCTTTTTAAGCCTAGCATGTAATATTGCCGTATCTTTAGCTAGATTTTCATAATAATCTGCTATGTAATTAAGGCTACCAAGAAACCTTTGTAATTGTTTCCTATCTATAATAATATTAGGGAATTTAGAAGCAAATTCAATACTTCTTTGTATAGGAATTATAATTCCTTGGTCAATTTCATGTCCTAAAAATCTAACCTTTGTTTGAAAAAGTTTCATCTTAGGACCAGATATTACTAATCCATTATGCTTAATTAATCCTTTGAATATTTTCAAATGTTTCATATGTTGATCTATAGTTTTTGAAAAAACTAAAACATCATCAATATAAACAATTATAAATTCCGTATAAGGATTAAAAATATCATTCATAATATTTTGAAATTCTGAAGGGGCATTTTTAAGGCCAAAAGGAAGGACATTCCATTCATAATGTCCAAAAGGTACGGTAAAGGCTGTTTTATACTTATCAGATTCATTAATCTGAATTTGCCAATAATCAGATTTCATATCAAATTTAGAGAAGATTAAAGCATTGTTTAATCTATCTAAAAGATCTTTTTTATTAAGAATAGGATATCTAATCCATTTTAACACTTTATTAAGTGGTTTGTAATTAATAACGAGTCTAGGAACTCCACGTTCCTTTTCTGCAGCATTATTGACATAAAAGGCTGTGCAAATCCAAGGAGATTTGGATTTTCTTATTAATTTTTTCTCCAAAAGAGATTCTATCTCTTTTTTGCATAAATCCAAATACTCATGATTCATTTGAGCAGACCTAGCTTTAGTAGGAATTTGACTTTCATTAAAGTCATCAAGATAAGGTAAGGAAATAACATGTTTCTTTCTATCCCAAAAGGCATTAGGTAAATCATTGCATATTTCTTCTCTAAACTGTTGATCAATTAATTTAATTTGATTTTGAATTTCAGGATTTTTAAGTTGAGAAGTGATGTTTAATAAACCCACTTCTTCTTTAAGAAAACAAATTTGTTTTTCTTTTTTAAGAAGAATATCTTTAACTTCATTAATCATCCTAGTATGAGGATCAGTAATAAATTCAAAAGTAATTCTTTTATTATTAATAATGGAGGTAATTCCCTTTTGATCAACATTAATTAGAGGCATAATTTTATGCAGAAAGGGAGTTCCTAATATAATTCTATTAGTTATGTTTTTCACAAGAATAAAGTGAGTGGGTAAACAAATATCTTTGTTACAAACATAAGCATTAGACAGTTTATAATTAACCGTGAGTTTATCTCCTCCAGCTTGTGTAAGAGATTGAGTAGTTTTATCAAAATACTTAGTGGGAATAATTCCCTCTTGAAGGCAGTTTAAATCAGCGCCACTATCAATAAGGGCAACTTCATTTTCTAATATGAAATTTCTATTAATCACTAAAGTTATTCTAACAAACCACTTTTGGGAGGTCACTCTATCAATGAGGGAAAGGAAATCATCACTAGGTGAAGGATTACTAGTTGAAGCTATTTCTTCAACCCTTGAATTATTGGACTCTAAAAAAGTGAGCCTTTGAGATAAACCATAGTTTTCTTTTTTAATTTGAGCTATCTCATTTTTTAAGAGATTTATTTCTCTATTTAAATCCATAATAGAAACAGGAGTTTCACGAATGTTAGACTGTCTAAATCTAGACAAAACCTCACTTAATTGGTAAGGTGCTTCTGTAATAATAGGAGATTCTCTTTTAGAGTTTTCTTGGATTAGAACCTCAAGCATTTTTCTTTTAAGATTTTTATCAGAAATGGACTCTATAGCCTTTATAGCTCCATCCTGTTCTGAGGTTAAAACATTTAACCCATTCATACCCACTATTGATTTCCAGTAATCTAATTGATTACATTGACAATTATTATTGTTAGAAGATTCAGATGAGTAATCAGAAGAAGATTCATAAATCATATTAATATCTTCTTCAGAAGAGTATTCTTCAAAATCAGATTTGAGAAGTAAAACTTTCTCTAATTGAGAACGTAATTGTTCATCTTCTATCTCATTAAGAGCTTTTTTAGTCCAACATTGGTTGGCATAATGGCCAGGTTTGCCACATTTATGACATGTTATGTCATGCTTTTTGGCTTTTCTTTTACCTTTAGGGTCAAAAGATTTTTCTTTAGGTCTACTCTTATTGTAGTGACCCTTTTTCTTATTCTTATAAGAATTTTTATAAGAATTTTTTGGCTTATCCCTATAAGGTTTATTGCGGAAAATTTTTCCTTTTTTCTTTTTATTATCTGGAGATTTTCCAAGATCAAAAGCAAATTGCTCACAAAATTCACCAATTTGGTGTTTTTCAGAGAGCTTTTGCTTTTTGAGTTGATTTCTAAGCTTTATGTCATTACATAAAGTTAATCCTTCATTAACACAAGTGCTAATTATATGACCATAAGTAAGATCTGAATAATTTATATTTATCCCATCATTTTTCTGTCTTAAGGATTGTCTAACTTTCTCTGAAAAGAAATGAGGTAATCCATCAATAAATTTTGCTTTCCAATGCAAAGAATTGGGATTGTTTAATTGATAAACTCTTGAAAGAAAAGTATCCTTATACCATCTAAAGTGGGTGAGAGAAGGACATCTAAGGTTTTGGAGAAGTGTCTGGATTTTTTCTCCAATGGGGACATTGGTTCCTACAAAATGTTGTAAGATGGAGAGACACAGTGTATACACTGCATCTTCTTCTCCTGTGGTGGTTGTAGCCACAATAGTGCTCGTACTAGTTCTTGGTTCCCTCTTAACGATTTTTTTATGATTAAGAATCTCTAATTTTTGAGATTCAGTGAGATAATGATCCCACCAGCCTCTAAGTTGGCCAACAAATCCTGTTGTTATAAAGGATGCTATTGAAGCATCAGAATTTCCATGTTGCTTACAAACAGTAGAGTACATGATCATCCTATGGATAGTATCTATAATTTGTTTGTCATTAAGACCATCAACATTCCATTCATAAATGGCTTTTCCTGAATAAGAATTCTGGAAAGGTTCTGATTCCTCAAAAAGCAAATCTTGCGGTGAGGGACGCTTGTAATAATACTTTTTATAGGCCTTGGGGAATAAACAGGATTTATACTATTAGTATTATTAATACTATTAGTATTAATATCAAGGTTACTAATGTCTAAATTAGCAAACATATCAGCAAGCTGGTCAATATGGTTGTCATTATTATCCTCAGAATAATCTTCATGGGACATGACAGTGATATTAAGTCCTTTTAGTTTTTGTTCTAAAATACGAACAAATTCTTCTCCGTTAGTTTCCATTTTAAATCCTTCTGTGGAAACAGGAGGTTGTACTATAGGAACATCCGAAATAGTGGATGTGGATATTTGGTCTTTAGGTTTATTTATGTGGTCAATAATGATATCTTGACGCTCTATTTGTTTTTCTAAAAGATCTTTTATGGATAAGAGATCTTTTTCCATGGAGATAAATTGTTCTCCTAAGCAAACAAGGTAAGCATTGGTATAATTTTGAGACCTGATAACCGAATTTAATTCCTTAAGAGTAA